AGGCCAGGTAAATTTCACTCAAGAGAACAACAGTGTAAATGATCCAAAGTGGCTGATGATTCCAAAAGCCCCATAGTTAGCTTCCCCCATGGCCTCCAAGAGAATAGATACTGATTTCCCTTAGTTTCTAGTCCTTCTCATCCCTTCTTGCCTTACTACTCTAGGCAACTAAAGGAAAAGCTCTATGAAACATCCAGGCATGTTACAACCAAAATATCCTAGTGACAATGTGAGGAACAATTTGAAAACCAGATCATGTATAACTCCAGCCCTGCCAGAAAAACAGCCACATCACAGCTCCAGAGAGACAAATATGTAAAGGAGACTGTGTTTTGACTAGCAGATTTACCTGTCTGCCCAGGTGTTCCTTTAATAAATACAGCATTAAAGTCAGGATTCCTGGAATATTTATTGACTGGTGCTGGGGGAGAAAACTAGTTTACATCATATGAAATGCCCAAGCAGAACGGTTTCAATGATCAAATGAAAGAAATTATTGCTGTTATTATTATTTATTACTACTATTATTAATAATGACAGCCACCAAAAAAACAAAGAGCTCAATCATCACATTAGAAAGCTTTGGCATGTGTGTTTCCACATGTGAATAAAGACTGGTCCCAGGTAGCAGCAAAATTTCCCTTTGATATGGGCCAGCAGTGAGGCCAAGGGTGAGCAAGCTGGACAAGGCTGTCCTGTGAACGCTAGAAGGGACAAGGTAACCCAAGGCAGTGGAGGAGGCGCCTCTGGATCTGCTCACCCGCTGCCTTTCCAAGACCACGGACTGCGGCAGGGAGTCGTAACTGCCTTCCTGATAGGCAAACGTCTCCAGGTCATCGAGCTGCGTTTTGAGCTGCAGTATCAGTTCCTTCTGCTTCTCCCTTTGGGTTTCCAGATGTTCCCGTTTCTCCTGCTCACTCTAAGATGGGAAAAGATTTGGGTTGATTTCACAGGAAAAGAAAAACTCAGGGCACATTATGAATTTTCTTAAGCCAATAATGACTAGTAAAATATAAAATGTTTCCAAGTAACCCGAATGAAATACAGAATTCATGGGACACGTTCAAAAATGAGAATAATTATTTCATCGGGGCAATTTATTAAATGCATGTTTTCTTTAAGAAAGTATTTGTCCTTCATTGGAAATAGGATATAAATACAATGGGGCCTTTCATTAAGATCGCTTCCCACCCCCTCAGGTCTAGTTAAGATTGACACAATTTATCTCAGCCAAGACAGCCTCCCTGGAATTAAACATGCCATCCTCCAGAGCCAATTACCACAGAACAAGTCCTGAATACTTGCTACAGCCAAATCTGCGAGAGAATCTGGAGGTAAGGGTGTATAGAGAGGCTTTATAACTCCTATCAGTTTTCTTAAGGTCCAAAGCGCCTCCAATGTATTGCAAAATCAAACAAACACAGGTACCTGGGGCAGTGAAAAAAATTCAAAGCCAAGTAATAGGGGTGAGAAGGTAATTAGGTTAAAAAAAAAAAAAAAAAAAAAGTTTGGTAAGGTTCCCTGACCAGTGACGCCTTTTCTCACTGTTGGCCACCCGGTCGTTTCTACATTTAAATGATGAAAAACCCTTCGGAGAGGTAAAGCCTTGCCAATGTATTCTCAAAAATTGGTTCTTCCTTGCCTTTTTTGAGTATCAAAAACAAAACAAAGCAAGACTAGCAAATCATTTACAGGTGTAAGGCTGTGTTTTAAACTAGATGTCTATAGGATATTAAATTTAATCTTAAAATGGTACTTACCAAGGCCTCCAGAAGTAAGGTATGAGAGAGAACAAATGAAAAACAACAAATTAACTGTTTGTTTAGCTATTTAAAAAGCAATCCCCTTGCTTTAGTTTTGCTCAATATGAAAGCAAGCCTTTTCTCAGGGGACACTGCCTCTCCAAAGCTTTCCCAGCGTCGTGGTTTTTTCTTAGAACCCTGTTCTCCCCCACTTAGTGGCCTAGCTATTCTTTAAGAGGTTTCCTCAATTTCCCCAGGCAGAACCAATCACCTCCTCTGTATTTTGTACACACTTCTACTCTAGCTCATGTCACATTATAATGAGTTGTTTAGGATTCTGTCTCCCCAAGTCTATGAACTCCTTAAGGGCAAAGGCCCTGACTACCCCCAGGGCCTAGCACTGTGTCTGGCACAGGGTAAGCTCTCAGTACACATTTGCTGTATGTTACTGAACGCAATCAGGTCCAGAAGGCCACATTCCAAATAATGAACTCTTACGGAAAAAGTTGTCTAACCAGCCCAAAGGGAAAGGACTAGGGAAACTTTGTTTTTGTTTTCATTGTATCCCATCCCAACATTATGAAGCCAAAGAAGAAAGAAACCAGCCACAGATCCTGATTCCATTTTCATGACTGTGTCTGCTGAACGCTGTTACCTGCCATGGTAATTACTGAGTATGCGATTTACTGGAGTGTGGGCAAACATGTTTACTAGGTGAGAACAATGAGCTCTGGTGCAAGGCAGGAAATAACAGAAATAATTTCCAGTATGAAGTGAGAGAAAATACTGGTTAAAAAACCAAAAAACTGGAACTGCTAAGTAGTAAATCGTTTGGTTCTAACATGTCCCCACTTTGGCACCACCTGTTCATGTGTCAATATATGCACACAAGATTACAGCTGCTTATTAGATGTTTTGAGCGCTACAGTTTTTTTTTTGTTTTTTTTTTTAAGTTGTACACTGTTTCTAAAAGTAAAAACGGACAACCAAAAGAGCACCACATCCACACCAAACCTTTGGTGCTCCTCACTCCTGAACAGGGCCTGACCACAGAAATTCTTTCTATCCTACCTGTTCCTTAAAAGTCTGGCAATTTGGGCTTCCCTGGTGGAGCAGTGGTTGAGAGTCCGCTTGCCGATGCAGGGGACACGGGTTCGTGCCCCGGTCTGGGAAGATCCCACA